TGTGTGTGTGTGTGTGTGAGTGCGTGTGTATATATGTGTGTGTGTGTGTGTGTGTGTGTGTGTGTCTGCGTAGGCATAGAACCACAACAAATAGAAATGAAGCTTTCAAATTATGCAGGTCCCCATTTTGGCTCACTGCTTGTTGCAAGGATTGGTCTCATTGGTCAAAGTAGAAGTCTCACGTCGTCCTATCTCCTTGTTGCTTCCAGTGCCAGATCTGCGACAGACATCGGTGATCATGGTTCTCCATTCATTCCTTTACTCGGATGCTCTTGAAGAAGCTACATCTCCCTGATCTGTCCCTCTCACCCTCTTGTTTAGGTTCCCTAAGTAGATTGCTTTAGGCCTGCCCCTGCCTCGTTTGCCTTCAATCTTGATAGTGAGAGCTTGATGTTCAAGACCCTTATGTCTATTCAGGTGTCCTCTAAAAACTGCATTTGTCGTTTCCTAATGGTTTTTAACAGTGAGCTTCATCAAAGATAAGATAAGATAATCATCATCATCATCATCCGGTGCCTTGCCGACTGGCGTGGGCGATCATGGACCTCCACTTCAATCTGTCTTGCGTTGCAGCAATGGTGTATGTCGTTCTTGCTGCTCCCAGCCATGTCGTCATCTTGTCCAGTATCTTTTTCCTCCGTCTTCCTCTGCCTCTCTTTCCATTAAACTTGCCTGTTGTTACAATATTCTCCAACGCTTTATATAAATATTCCTCTCTTCAAAAGCACTTGTGTGGGTGGTTGGCGGGTGTTCTGGTGTGGTTTGTTCCTTCTTTCCTATCAAACATCTATCGTCCTGGTCTTTCCTCCTTTTTATGTTTGTTACTCTCTTGTAACACCTCTATTCTTCGACATTTATATGATCCTTTTGTGTTGCAAGTGCCGTAAAACTCTTACTAAAACAAAAAACGCTCCTCATAGAGCAAGTACAGCCGGGGACTCGGCTTGTGTGGAACTCACTTGACTTGATTCTCCGTCAAGTATGTCATGTGATCGTATAATTGTGAGGCAGCGCGGTGGAATCAGGCTCTCGTCCAAATAATTAAAATGAAGAAACTTGCGCTTTTCCGCAGGTTGGTGAATTTTTATCGAATTTTTGTTTTTCGGCTCAACACCTTTCGTATCCATTAAAGAACTCGTTTCTGTGTGGATTTTTATGAAATATGTTGATTAAAGGCACAAAAAATGTAAATTTTCAGCTACCACGGACTCTTAAGCTAAGGAAATAACTAATCTTTGGCAGCCATTTTTTCACTAATTTTACCTCTGAAAACAGGTGCCCCCCCCCCCCCAAACGTCCTTCTTTCGTAAATATCTCGACTTGTATTCAAGATAAATAGATATTTTTTTCATTCAAGTAAAGAGAAGTGAAAAAGCTTTAAAATGATACCTATAACTCTATATGCCCAAAAATTGACGAGAGAGTGATTCCACCACGCTGCCTCACAATTTAGTTCTCTGGTCCCCTAAAAGATTTCACCTTCTTTGTTACATGGCCCAACGGTTAAGTTGAACTTTGGATGAGTTGAAGGTTGTTTTTTTCGTACTCCGCCGACCACATCCCCTCACTCAATTCGGCTATGTATCGTGTGTGTGTGTGTGTGTGTGTGTGTGTGTGTGTGTGTGTGTGTGT